CTTATGATTACATTGGGACTACTCAGAAAACCCAGGACACTCTCATCCCCGGAACCTTAATCACATCTGCAAAATCTGCTGCCACACAATAACATGATGTTCACAGTTTCTGAAGATCAGGATGAGGACATCTGTGTGTGTGCTGGGGGGAAGGGAAGCATTTATTCTGTTCACTTCACGAAAGATTTGTTTTGGATTTTGTTCTCCAAAGAATGAGCTGTTGGATCAATCATTTCTCGTTTTAATTTTACCTTTTATATTTTCTTGAGGTTAATTTTGGAGTTCTTTACTTTTTAAGAGAATGCTTAATTTGGTTAGTCTTATTCTATTAATCAAAGTGTGTGGGTCTATAAATTATCCTCTATGTGGAGTGTTAATTATATCCCATATATTTTGATTTCCTCTTTGATCAAAGAATTATTTCAAAATGAAATTTGAACTTCTAAGCAGTTTTCATTTTTATTGTCATTTCTATATTTATTTTTAGTTTATCACATGGTGGTTATAGAGGATATTCTGCACCATTCCTTTGCAAATATATTGCAGTTGTGTTTGTATATATAAGTGTATATATTTATGCATTATATAATCTCTATATGTACATTGCATAATAAGAGCATGAAACAATGTGCATTCTGTTTGTGTAGTATATATCTAAGTTATTTAGATTCTCTATATCTTGGAGATAATTATTGGATCAGTTATAAAGAGCTTCTTTGTTTTTTACAGCATTGTAATATCCAGTGTATGGATGGAGCATGATTTAACTAATCCCTATTGATAGATTTTGAATTGTTCTATCAATGTTAGCTCTTACAATAAGGTTGTAATGGCCACTTTACTTTCATATAGTAAATAAAATGCCATTTTGTACCTGTGGGAATATATATGTGGAATATATTATAAATAAATCCTTTTCCTTAGCTCTGTTTCCCTTGAATCTTATTCAATCGTTTTATTATCTCCTGAATCACACTGCCTGTATTTTCTTAACAAATACTTCAAAGCAGTTATGGTCTAAAATTTTCTTCTCTATCCTCAGGACTGTCCCTCCACCAGCTGCAGTTTTGTATTTTGGGACTTTGTTTCTCCACACTCCCAACACTTCTCCCCAGATTTTTGGCATAGCTTCCCTTCTATTTGCATCTGGCATATTTCAATCTGTGATTATTCCTGGCCCCCAACTAACATTTTTACTATTATGATTATGCTGGTGCAAATAGTATTTTAATTGTTGTGGGCTTATGATAAATGTATAAACATATATCAGTTCCCTTCTCACTTAACTGTATTTGACTGACTTTAAATATGCATGCTTTTCACATTTTAATGTTTCTGGAATCAGATTTAATAATATTGAGATCACAGTAATTTATATTTTTTCCAAAAGTAGATGTTTTAAAATTAGTAGTCTTACAACTTACAGTGTCTTAAATCCAAGTATGTAAATAAGGTATTTCCTATCACATCACATGTGTTCTCAAGCAATGTATGTGCTGAACTTTCTGGATTCTTTTTAAGTTTGTCTAAAATGTACTGTACCTGACACACGCCTTTGGAGCCTTTGAAATGTTTTAACATGGGGTTTATCTGTTCTAGTTACACCTGGATGAATTCTATTTTTCTATTTTTGTTTTCTTATCTTCTCTTTGGGTTTTGTTGTATAGTGTGTAAGTGTGACACTAACCATTTTTCCAGAAATATTCACCCCTAAACCTTGAAAGAGATGTCTGCAAATTTTCCAATGATTTTATAAGCCATTTAAAACCCTGTAACATATCTCTTTCTGTCTAAATATATGGAGTGAATTCTGTTCCCCAAAAGATACGGGCTATTGGGTATATTATTTGACACAGACATTAGGTAAAAAGCGTGCCCATGCTTACAACTGCTACCATGAAAACTTGACGGAAGGAAAGCAAATCAATTTAGAACATTAGAATTTCTATGTGGGCTGTACTTGGAAACTACTGTCAAGTCAATCCATGTATCATTTCAAAGGGTGTCTTAGTAGGTGTTCATCCTTCAAGGAAGTGCTCAGAAACATGACAAAATGGACCAAGACTCTAACAAACTCACATTCAGAAGCTTAAGTAACAAAGGCCAAGCAAATCACCTTATTCTATTTTTACAGCAACTTTCCTGTAGCTTTCTCCTGATTAGGATAAATTAAATATACACTCAAGTTTGGTTTCACTATAAATTCTGTAACTATTTTTTCCTAAGTGGAAAACCTATACATTATTTTTAAAACCTGTTTAACACATTAAAATAAATATTAACACAGAATCAAGCTAGTCAGGGTTGTCAGTATCAAGCTTATAAATATACTTTCTTGGTCATGAAGAAGCAAAAGTTAGAAGCCATTCTATGCTTTGATGTTAGAAGGAAATATTAATTCCACTGTTCAAACTAACATCTCTTGGAACGCTAAAAAAGTCAATGTGAATATCCCTGAAACCCTCAAAAAATCCGGATCAAAACTAACTTTTGACCAAATAGATGCCAAAAAAGCAAAGGACAGGACCCCAAGCATTTTCTTTCTTTGCTGCACTTAAGTTTTCCATGAACTGTACTGTGGATTCAATTACAAGTAAACCCAAATAATAGGACTACACAAACTGTTTTAAGTCCATAAACATGAGACTCTGGAATCAGAAAACCCTCATGGAGATGAAGCTGGGCTGAAGTGTTTTTAGTGACACCTGACATGCTCTTTTATGTAAATCAGATTTTTACTGGTACTGTTGTATAAAGGGCACAATCTTCAAATAAAGGAATATTGTTGCTTTCTTTAATGGGAATAATTAGCTACCTAAAGACGTAAAAAATAATTGGTTTGTGACAGACTAAAGATGCAGCACTCTAAAATCTCTTTAAATTCTTAACTCCCAACTCCCTGTACCATCACAGTGCCATGGAAACAGATGTCTGACTCCCAGCTTCCGTTTCTCCCACCCCACTGCAAGACAGGTATCACTCTAAATACTTGCATCAAAAAATTTCTCCCCACTTGTTTCCCGGGTTCTAAAAGCCCGATATCTTATCTGCCGTCTTACACTGTATGCCATCATACCGTACTCCTGATTTTCCAGACGCAGGTGGTTGTAGGCACTGCGGACTCTAGCTGAAGTCCATGGAACGGAACACGGCTGCAGATGCATGTCACCCTTGCATGGTAATGTGTTGTTAAGGCTCATCTTTTCAACATGATCATGAAATACTCAGGCAGACAAAAGGTGTGGACTGTACCACAGTAACACCTGCATTCCCATCACCCAGCTGAAGATAGAAATCATTTCAATATTTCTCCTTTGAGGAAATTCAGTTATTTGTTGCTTTTCATTTCCATTCATATAGCGTTTACCATACACGTCCCCATAAACAACATATATTATTTTTCATGGTGTACTTTAAATATTGTAAGGATTCTTTTGAAATGTTTTTGCTTTTGACATTCATCTGTTTTACCTGTAGCTGTATTTTTACTGCCATAAGTACTGCATTGCATGAGTATCCCATAGAAATCCATTCTCTTGCTGACTCTGAGGTTGTTTCAAGTTTCTTACTAATCAGAAACAACAGAGCTATGATTTCCTTACTATCTCATTTGAAAAAAACTTTTGCTGAGATACATACTGAGAAGAACTGTTGGATTACAGGGTCTTCAATGTTACTAGGTATGTTAGTTGCTTTCCAAAGTGGCTGCACCAATTTAATGGCTGGAGTAACATTATTTCCCTGTCCAACTACAGCAACCACATCACCTCAAGGATATTTCTAGCTTGGATCCATGCTTTTATGTTAATTTCTACATTTTGAGCTACTATCTAACAAAGATCGTGTGAATTCAAACCCTGAAGCCATGGTCGGGTAAGTGCACAGAATTCTCAGAGCGGCCTCTTTTTTCTTTTAACCTGAAGGACAGACCAGATCAACAGAGACTCCTTGAGGTCTCTGCAGCCAGGGTGAGAATTTCTTTTCTATTGTGCTTACACTTCAAGGTGTTGGTCTTTATGATTTGGACATTATGTCTGAGGCTCAGTTATAATGTCCTATGTCATATGGGCCTGAACATCTAAATTCCTTGACTGCGACTGTTACCCTCCTCCCCATCCCCACCATCCAGTGCCCAGCCCGAAAGCCTCAGTGTCAGTTCAAGCTTACTGTTCTGGTCTTTATTTTATTGGAAATGGGGTTTCTTTAATTTTTCTGCTTAGGCCTTTGGGGATAAGTTTTTCTCTTATTTTCTTGTGCTTTCAGCACTTACAGGGAAGAAGTTACAGTCTTCTGACAACAAAAGGGAAAACGGAAGGCACGAAAGTAATTCTGAGGCTCAAGTTTTTTCAATACATAAGTCTTATTTTCTAAATCGGCAGCGTCTTAACAGAACTTTCTGAGTGAAGGAAAAGTTCTACAATCTATTCTAATATGGCAGGCAGGCATTTGCCACATGTGGCTATTAAACCCTTGAAATGTGGCTAATGCCTGAAGGATTATATTTTTAATATTATATAGTTTGCATTAATTAAAATTTAAACTTAAATAGCCACATATTTGACAGCACAGTTCTAAACAGTAGTACTATTCTTCATCCTTGGGTGGTTTTATGTATTTAATAAACCAATGTAGTCTGGGAAGAAAAGCCTGGCAAATCCACTTCTGACAGTCAAAGGGTGAAATAGTTGATAAATGACTTCAGATTATCTGCCACCACAAAACTGTATAGTCCTGTTATTTGAATAATCAGGTATTTCTTGCCTGACTTGTCTTTCTGGGAATTTTCAAAGATCTATGGTGAGCAGGTTTAAGCACACATTCTTTCCATTGCCAGCTTCTGAACTGGAAGTCAGATAATCAATCTCTAACAGCTTTTTCAAGGATACTTAGAGAGTATGAAAGTGTCAAGAATTTCCAAGAGTAAATAAATTAAGAGCATAAATACATGTTTTAGAATGCAACATAAGACAATATGAATAGGAGTAAGAGTACAATTTGGCTTATATTGGAACTGAAAAACTTTATTGGTAACCTGAAAATGTGTACAAGTTAAAACTTGAGCTTCATGGGATTTACTTAGAGCATTAAAAAAAAAAATAAAGAAAGTAAGTCTACCATTCTGGGCCTGGTCTGGGCTTATATTTCCAAATTTTTAAACTTTCAAAGGGCATTATAGTATATGAAATAACTCTTCTTTTTTTTAAATTGCCTTAAACACAGGTTAAGAAGGCTAAAGCAAAAATGTAAGTGTGAATTAGAAAATGAAAACAAATACATATCTGGAAACAAGGCCCATAAGCCTGGCTGGCACATTTGGTCATTTTACTGGCTAGCCTTCAAAAATAAAGATTTGTAAGTTTTCCTTTTTACCATGCATTCATTCATGTGCATTTTCTATGTTCTTGCATAAAACTAATGCTCACAGGTTCAGCAGTTAGGAATGCACTGAGATGGATTCTGTGTTGAGAAAAGCATTTCATGGGATGAATGATCCAGGTCAAAAACAAAAAGCAAAACGTTTGCTTTTTAAAACAACACACATTTCCAGATAAACTGATTTAAACTCCTGTCTAGAGATTTTCATGGATATTTTCCTGTATTCATATGATTTTAAATGCCTAGAAGCACTGAAGCCCCACAATTCCCATCAACGTATTTCAGGTATTTTGCTTATTAATTTTTTTATACTCTCAAGACAAAACAAAAAACAAAAAACAAGAAGTCTTTGCTAGAAAGCTATTTTAGCATAATGAATACATATCTTCTCAGAGTGTATGCAGTCCACTCTTCTCCTGATAATCTTCATAGAAACATCTCAACGATTCAGGAATTCTGGGTGTCACAGTGCTTAAGGCTTGAGTAAAATGTTTTCTCATAATGCATTTGGCTTGAATGTCCTCTTCCAGAGCCAAAAGGGCTGCCTCTTTACAAACAGCTGTAATCTGAAACAAAACAAGCAGATGAAAACGAAACACAAAACAAAAAAGAAAAGAGGAGTGAGAAAACAATTGTTTTTTTGAACTGTAGTATTTCAAACATTCATCCATGGTAAGTTCTTTAACTATAAGCACACTTTATCTTCACGAGTTTTTCCACTTAAGTTTTTAAAAGGATAAAAAGTAATCACCTTCATTCCAAAACAACATCTTAAGTACTCAGAACCCAGAGTGCCAAAAAGATATGTAAGACATGGCATTTGCTCTTAAGGAGCTTACAATTGTAAAGGCAGAACAGACGTGCAGCTACACACTCCTGACGCAGGATGACAAAGGGGGCGCGTGTATGTGCGGTGGGGGCAGGTGGGAACCATGTGATGGGGGTGCAGAGGCTATTACTCTGATAGAGAGTGAGGTCCTGCTCAACAGCACACCTTGCCACAGCATAGAATTTCCACATTCCTTTCAACCTTTGATGTATTACTGACATGTAAAAGCATTTCTGTACGTGCATCTCTTTAATGAGTTCTTAAATCTTGGGACTATCAGATAGAGTTGTCTCCGTTTACTTTGGGGAGCTGCATTAGAACAGAGAAGTGAATTCTATTTACTCAGCGAGGAAAGCTGGAAGAATTGAAAAGGACCTGGGGTGAGAATGGAGTGGATGCAGAGGGAAGGAGGCGGGACTGGTGGTAGGAAACACGGAAGGGGAGGAAGGTTCAAGTCTTGAATACTGAAATGTGTTTTTAAGCTCTTTGGACTTCAGACAGCGGAAGCAGGCTGATGCCAGTGTCATTCTAAAGACACATTATGTGGTGAAAAGAGCTTGTGGGATGAAAAGAGATATTGTGATTTTCAGGGCAACCGGGAAAAAACAGTGACTGATACCGACTGCACCTTTCTATCGGTAAATGAAAGGGCCAGCTGAAACACATTTGTCCAGCCATTCAGCATATTTTCTCTGTTTGTTCACTTACTGAAAAGAGTTCCTCTGCTTATGCTGGGCTAATGGCTGCCAAAGCAGTTTAGTAGCTTTTTAGGGGATTTAGCAGCATGTTTAGGGAGCTTTAAAAAAACACGCATAGATTGAGATGGCTTTGTCAATTTACGACAATGTAACTATTAATTCTGGGCTGCATTAATGAGCCGTGGAGTTGACTACAGTGGTTATGCATGTTAATGCTTTCCGAAAAGAATGGCTACCAACTTGGTGAAGGAAAAAACAAAACTTGTAGGAATGAGTAACACAAATTTATCACATATTCTGGTGCAAAAAGAGTCAGTCTGAAACAAGATGTGATAATTAATAAGCACAGTAAAAGCACATGAAATGCCCAACATGACAAACTGGCTATCCAGCGTGTTCCCAAGGGACCTTGGGGACCTCTGTGCAGGCAGGTGAAGGAACCATGCAGGCACAGCTTCAGCCCTTCCCTTCCCTCCATCTGAGCAGCACTTCTTTGATCTGTACAAGAATTTGAAGCAATGGTTGCAAGGCTAAGAAGTTTGAAGAAGAATCACTGGAAGGGGCAGAGAGGACTCAGCTTCCTGCTGGCCTAGCTCTGCCTCTGGCAGTACAGGGAATATTTCCGATGTGTGGCTCCTTCCTCAGGCTGAGTGGAGTAGAGAAGTCACCACACTTGAGCCAATGCCATGCCTTGCCCATTTCATAACTGAGACTTTCCTCAGAGAATGGACCCAGTGCAGAATGCCAGCAGTTATTTACTGACAGGTGCCCCCAGGTTCTGTACAATGTGGTCATCCTGCTAATAGGGGAAAGTGCAAAGTCTGAAGGGCGCGTGGCAAACGAAGTGGTCAGATAAGCCTGTGTAAAGTGGTGGTAGGCAGTGGGTGGGATTATGGAGAGGCAATGGCAAGGCTGTTGGACTCTCTCCAAGCTGCCTGGATTTGGTTCCACATGGCCAGATGGTAGGTAGGTGGCCAATCATGCCAACACATTGGAGAAAGTGAACCAAAAGTCCAGCGGGTCTCGTCTCTCAGTCCCCAGTAACCAAGTGGGAGAAGAAGAGATGATGACACACCTCCAATACTGAGGTCTCAGGCAGCCTACTGTGGCAAGGCAGAGACATACAGATCGCGGCCAGTGACAGGTCACTGAGGCTTTGAAGGCTGTCTTTGAGGGGAGCTTTCCTGAGCAATTCCTCTTTGAAGATTAACTTTCTTTCCTTCATACCTGCATCTGTAGATTTTTCTCTAAGCTATAAATTATTTTTTGGCCTTGTGTGGTAGGTTCCACCAGCAGCAATAGAGGAGGCACTGGGGATGAGATGTGGCCAGAGCAGTAACAGCCACTTGACAGCATGTTTGTAATGCAGGG